ACATCCAAAATCTTACAGTATTTATTTCATATGCTTATAAAAATTACACAATTATTGATTTACTAAGTTAGGCAACAACATGCCCAATTACCAAATAATTGGGTGTATAATAGAGCAAATTTCTTAAAGGACTATTATCAATTCCTGATTCCCAAAATGAAATTGTTCTTGCTGAGGATAGTAAAGCACCATTGAACTGCGAAGCTACATCTTTATAATGTCCCCTAATAATAGATTTTTCTCTTAAAACATAAAGATCATTTTAAGAAAATTTTGCATTAGCATCAGAAGCTGGTAATGGAGAAAAATCTGATAACCCTAATAAGAAAAAAAAAAGCAATAATTTCATTAAATATATTAATCTAATGAAATAAAATAATATAAAGATTTATAGTTAATAATTTTTATACTGTAATATAATGAGGTGAAATAAAATGCTTAAAGAAAATATATAATTATTTTTTGATTATTTGAAACTAATCCTTTCAATGTCTATTTTACATAAATATAATTTATAAATAATTGACTATTCATTTCTAAAAAATAATTCAAGATCTTATTGGTCATTTAAATATGCATAATCCAAACAAATCTAAAATTCTTAACATTAAATTTATATAATCTAATTACTAACAACTACTTTTTAATCATGGTTTTTCATTGTAAATCTGGAGGATCATGTTTATTCTTCCGAAAGAATCTATAGATACATTCTAAAATAATTACAATTTAAAGTATTAATATATTTAATGTATCATCCAAGATTTCAAATTAATGAAATTGTGTTGAACTTTTATGAAATTTCATTTCAAGATTATATGTGCTTTATTACATCTTTGATTTCAGATACATAAATAAATATTAAAATTCAAGAAATTTGATGAATAACAATAATGCTCCTAAATTATAATTGAAGAAAGGTTAATTACTCCTGAAAAACGAAAATATTTTTGATTTGGTAAAAGATATTCTAACATAATTAATAAAACAGACATTTACTCAATTTGTTACAAATTTATTGGTTAAGATAAGGAAAGTACTTATATTTAATGATGCATCCTTTAGTTAGTAATAAGCGACTAATGTTTATAAATACGAAGGATAATATTATTAGGGTTGCTAATAGTACGTTTAAGGTAATTAAGTTAATATAGTTGACAGATACCTACAGTATTTTAAGGGAGGGTAATTTATGTAACTTTAGTATAAGAAATTATGCAATACTATTTTTGTAAGGAATGAAATGATTGATGGAATTCAAAATATAAGTGTTTGATAATAACAAATTATAAGTAGGAAGAAAATTAAAAATAGAAATGAATGAAGATAAATATCTTGTTTGATACAGTAAGCCCACTATAATGGATTTTGGAGAATTAAATGCATAAGTAAATTGATAATTGATGGCATTATTTATTTAATTTGTCTTCAAAATTCATTCTAATACATTTAACTTTAGTTTAAATAACATTTCATCTAGTTTAAAGTCAATAGTCCTTATATTAAGAATTATTAAGTATAAAAAGTAATTGGAATAAATAGAAAAAATGTATTTTGTGAAGAAAGACTTAAATTCATTAATAAATATACCTCAAGAATAAAGATATAAAAATAGCATGAAGACTTATAAAGTTTATGAAAGCTGATGATAAAGCATTTTATAAATTTAATTGTGGATGGAGAATGGTTTAAGAGTAAAAAGAGCTGATAATTCAGTAAAAGACAGTAGATGGCGATTTTCAGATTAAAAGAAAAGAGATTATGTCAATAGGAATATCAGATTTTATAAATGGAAGCTAGATGAAAGTTTGAAAGTAGTAAATAATATAAAAAAAGAATATCCTATAATTCAATATTATTCGATATTTTTTAATAATTAAGATCGCTACATTGTAATAGAATGCTAATATTGCAGAGAAGAATTTAAGTATGAAATACATGATCTAAATTCAGATAATTTCTTTTTTTTTTAATTTTTATTTTATGTAAAGAGAAAAAAGTAATGTGGAATGAAAAATGTATTGTCAAAGTGGTACTATAATCAACTATAGTTATGCAGTGGCTTTTCAAAATTTGAATAGAATACTAAAGAATAGTAGTCTAATAATGAATACCTGCTTACATTAATATTGTATGAGATAATTTAGAAAGATGTATTCCAATTTATAAGCTAATCCGACCTTTTTTTATGTGTTGAACAATTTCATTTTTAAATCAGATTCAAATTAAGGAAAAACCAAACTTATATATCGAGCACTATTTTGAAGTTATATTATAATTAGTTTTTGCAAATAGAAGATATTAAGCCAAATAAAGTCCTAAAAATGCTTAAGAGACATGTAAGGCATTTACTTTTGGATTTTTTGATCTTTAGTAGAGTAACTTCTGCTAAATAGTTTGTTAAAGCAAAAAAGTTTGCGTTTTTAATTAAATTCGTGTTTTACTACTAGTAAGGGATTTGAAAAATCAATAAAAATAATAAAATTGTGGATAAATCTGCTACAAATATATGTGAATAAATCTTAAAGTAAGCAAGGGAAAATAATTTGGAAGTTCCATCAAATGAATTATATAGCTAAATTATTGTTGATTTTTATGAAATAGCTATGATTATTTAATAAAAAGAACAAATTGATATTAATAGGAAACTAATAGCAATAGAGAAGGCATAAAAGATTAAGGAAAAGAAAATATTTCTGAAATTCAAGAGCAATAATCATAAGATTAATGAACTTTAGAATTTCCTCAGCAATTTTTTGGCATTAAAGAAAAAAGCGAAGGAATATCAAATAAAAATGAATTTACAAAAAATTTAGCTCCAAAGGGAAGGATTATTCACACATGCTTAAAAAGGAGCGTGAAAAGAATAAAATATACATTGATCTTTTGGTCCAAGTAAAAGCTACTAAAAAATGCTTAGAAATAATTAAAATTTATCAATCAATTTTGTAAGTCATTCAAAAATTTTATCACAAAAATTCTGTAAAACAATTAGAATATCATTAGATTCACCATACTGTGACTTAATAAATTAACCAAATCAATCATTATCAGTATTGTTATATATCAATCATTAACTGCTTGAAATATTAATATCTCAAGTAAGGCTATACTTTAAGATTAAAGTAATTGTCAAAGTAGAATAGTCTGAATTCTTCTGTCTAATTTCATTTCAAATTTGAACAAATAGTGAACTTGATTAAGGCTGAGTATGATCAGAAAATATTCACTAAAAATTCTGTCAACAAATATGTTGAAGGGAAGGAATCAAATTTAAAAACTTATTGAATTTTTTAAAAAGGTTTGTAATTTCTTGTATATGAGTTTCTAAAGTTATAAATTTCTGATCTGCTTTAAGTTTAATCCTAAGATAGAACAAATTATTAAACTTGATAAAGCAAAAAAATTATATAATTGCGTGTTAGCAGCATTGGATAAGAGGGCTTATTAAGTATTAACAAATTGCACTCAATTAGAAACTATTAGTGAGTGTTTTTATTTGATATAGTACTTCTAAATCAAATATAATTATATGTATGGAATGCAAGTTCTGGTAATTGCTCCTAACATTTTTGTTCTTCATATTCAACTTAAGATTCATGTTCATATATTTTTTAGAATATCAGCTAATCCAACATATAAATTTTTGTTTGGAACACTACTACAAATTCTTGTACCACAGCTACTTACATCATTGAAAAATCCTTTTAAGATTATTATCAAACATCTGGTGGTACTTATTATTGGAGTAACACTTTGGAAACAACTGGAAATTGCGTTTCATGTTCATTAAATAAGTTTCAACTAAAAAATACCTGTTCATGTTACAGAATTAAATAAATTTGGAATTTGAAATACCTAATTCTGTTAATATTGTTCTTAATAGAATGAATGTATGTGGAATTAAAATAAATATGTTGCCTTTACTAAATACTCCTATTTAACAGGTTTTAGTACTTTGAATGACATTGCTTAATCAATTGAATTATAATATATTTAAAATGGAATATTTTAATTATTAAGAAAATATTTATTATTGATTCTAAATTTATCTTTTCATATTTGCAATTATCCTACTCAACTTCAAATATTTGTTCTTTATCATATTTATTACTATATTAATAAATCAAATTTTCTTCAAACTTCTTTTATCTGGTGAAATCTTAAAGATTTGCCTTTTTTGAATTTGTTATAGTTAAAAATGTTATATCGAAGTACTCACTAAATTACTTCCTCTCTTTTATCCATTTTAACAGCTTGATATGATGAAGTACATAGATAAGCATTATCATGTTAAGTTCATCCTTCTATCTATAACTAATACTACCCACGAATTTGAAACCATTTTAGACTTCCTAACCTTTATACCCAATTCATATTAAATCACCTCAGTTTAAAAAATTGTAAATAAATGCGTCGATAACACTTTAATTAGCTAAAGTATCTTTTGGAAATCTTTTGATTTACAATCAATTTGGAAAATTCGAATATAATAATTGATTTATTTGTTTATCAAATAACATAAAATACTTAAGATATAGATATTAAGATACTTAATCTCGGTAATACTTTTGATCTATAATGTTTAATTAATCAAATACTTAAATTTATGTAGTATTGTTTGATTAGCTGATAAAGTAATATTATTTCTTATTTATTAATATAAAATTTATATTTTATTTAGAATGAAATGTTATTAATTGACTGTAATAGTAAATTTAGTAAGACATCGTGTTTTATATAACCAAATCTCACAATACCTTGAGTAGGGATAACTTAATCGCATAAACATGAAAAAAATAGACTCTGATTATAAAAGAGCTTTCCATTTTATGATACCTAACAACTAGGGTATTTATATTTTTCAGAAAAAGTTAAATAATTTAAAATAATGATTGACTCAAAACACTATTGTTATTTTTATTTTTAAATTGGTTGATTCTTTAAGTAATTTTATAAATATTACTTATTTGATTACATAATATTTTTGATTTATTTCTTCATCTTTAATTAAAAAATTTAATTTCTTTAGCCCACCAATCAGACACTTTTTACAACTTCATCAAATAGTAATTTCTTTAATCATTCCAATTTTTTAATGTTGTTCCTTCTAAAATTTTTATTAGTTTTTCTAAGTAAGTATATGAAGATTCAAATATATTAGTATTTTCAGTTATGATATTCAAATATAATTTATTTTACATCTCAATCATATCATAAATTTATTTAATCGATTCTTATAATTTTCCCAAATTTTTTTCAGCATACTTTGTGTTTGAGAAAGCATAGATTTAACATTCATTCTTTATTTGTTTAATTCAGATGTCTCATCAAGCTTATATTCTTTTAATTTATTCAAAACCATTTTTTTAAATATATTAATTGGAACTGCATGTTTTACATCGATTTCATGTTCTTAAAGACATTGAGCACACAGTTTCCTTTGACATAAACATTTGTGAGGAGCTATATATATACATGATATTTGATTTCTTATATGATAAGTGCAATTCATAATTTAAGTCTTATACAATTATTATTATTATAATAAAGATAACTTTTGCATTATTGCAAATAATTATTCATGATGAGATTCTACAAATTCTCTATTTTTATCAGTAAATCTTCTTCTTCCTAATATTTATCACATACTTAATTTAAAATAAAGTTTTTATATAAAATAGATTAAGAAAATAATCTTGGCAACTTATAAGATCAACAATGATGAAAACATATTTTCTTATGATTTAGGTTATTAAGTGCAATATATTCCCTTTGTTCAAAATTTTTGTCTTCTAATAAGCTTTAATACTTTTACAAAGTAATTCATGGTAATTAAAAGATAAACTTTGAGAAGAGATCTGAATCTATAAATAAAGAATCTTAATAAACCATGAGTTAAAGTTATTTATAGAATACCTATATATATTATTCTTTGAAAATAGCAACGTGTTAAATATTTATGTTTTAGCAAAGAGGAATGGATAACCATTTATAACGCCAGTAAGAAACAGTATTCCAACTATGAGAAAGCCT